TGCAAATCGACCATTTAGGTCCTCAAACTTATTCATCTGGGTTATCTCGATCCTCAAACTTGTTCGGCTGTGTCATCTCTGTCTCTAAACTTAGAAATCACCCGTTTAGCTCCTCAAACTTGTTCAGATGTGTCATCCCGGTCCCTAAACTTGATTTTGAGTCTCATCTAGGTCAAAATAATACGATCTAAAAACTTTATATCAAAAAATAATTTATAACTTTTTCATATGAACTCGAATGAAAACAAACTTTATATCAAAATTGTAGCCCTCGATGCGATCGATAACTTTGTAGTTGAAAAGTTTCTGAATTAAAACTGTTTAAGGCCCCAAAATATTGTTGTAAGTCTATAGATTTTGAAATTTAAATTTTAAAATTAAATTTTGAGACACTAAACGACTTCAAATAAAAAACTTTTCAACTACAAAGTTATAGACCGTATCGAGGGCTATAATTTTAACATAAAGTTTATCTTCATTCGAGTTCATATGAAAAAGTTATGAATTATTTTTTAATATAGAGCTTTTAGATCGCCCTGTTTTGACCCAGATGAGACTCAAAACCAAGTTTAGGGACCGGGATGATATAACTGAACAAGTTTGAGGACCTAAACAGGTGATTTCTAAGTTTAAGGACCAGGATGACACAGCCGAATAAGTTTGAGGACCTAAACGGTTGATTTATGAGTTTATGGACCAGGATGACACAGCCAAACAAGTTTATAGACCGGTGATGGACTTTACTCTATTTTTAATTATAGTTCTTTTGTACAGCTCTTGCTTGGCTCCATGTTGACCTGCAGTTTGTAGATTGAACTTAAAATAAGTTAGTTAGAAATTCACTTTTATATTCTAAGAAGATTATGGCTCACTCAAACGCTCTACTCTCTCCGTAAATTTCTGGTAGCGGCCTAAGAGCATCTCCAATAAATTACTTATCCTTCATCACCAATACATTTTCTCTCTCTCCATCATCAATAACGTTTTTTGTGTTTTTGTAACCATGCTGCATCAGATTACCAAAACACCTCATACTCATGAATAGGGTAGAGGGATGAATCCCCTTCATTTGGGTGACAGCATCTCCAGCAGATTGCTCATTTACCTATACACTTAATTTTGTATAACATGTCAGTGGTATTTCACTGTTCATGCCATGAACAGTATGAGACCCCCATAAACAGTAAAAACCCGTTGGTAACAGTCCCGCGCGTAACAGTAGCGAAACCGTTACTGTACCAAAAACCCGTTAGTATATATTGCCGGGTTCGTCACTGTAGCAAATACCCGTTACTGTTTCACATTTTTTCCTTTTCCCTTTTTGCTCCTCCTTCCATAAAAAAAATTAAAAAAAACCCTCCCGTGCTTTGCACGGGCTCCCTGCTAGTATCACCCCAATACCAACAAACTACCATTTGAGAGATTTTGGAGATGAGAAAGAGCTCCAACAGATTACCAATAGGTTCCCAATACCAAAACTTTTTCAGCAATTGCCCAAACATCACCTCCTCTCCCCTAAGCAAGCCGTTGAAGCGCTCTCCCCTATCAGCGGTTGGCTTATGCCCAGAACTTCTCCGCTCGCCTGGCGCCCGTGCTGCTTCACCGGCAGGCGTCGCCATCGCTTCCACCCCCCATGTGGCAGCCACGCCTGGCGCCCGGCCCACCAGCACACAGAACCCACCTTGGCTATGCCAAAAAGGTCTGACGGTGCCCGGCTCCACCCCACGCCACGAACCAAGCGCGGGTCGCCCCTACCTCTGGCCGCGCTCGACCTCGCCTCGCGCCGGCGCGCCCCTGCCTCGCCTCGCACGGGGTCAGCCGGGCGAGCTCCCGCCGTTGAGTGGGGCAAAACGGGCGCGGGGCTGGAAGGGCGAGCTTCGCCGTCGGAGGGGATGGGCCTGCTGCTGGAGGAGAGAAGATGGGAGGAGAAGAAGAAGGGAGGAGGGAGGAGAGTCCTGGAGGCGGGTCGGCGCCGCTGGGAGGGAGCACGACCGGCGCGGGAAGGCCGATCGCCGAGGGACCGGCGCCGTCACGGGGAAGAAGATGGGAGAAGGGAGGGGAGTCCTGGAGGGCGGCGGCGGCGGATGTGAGGCAGCGGGGAGCCGAGAGGAAGAGGATAAGACGAGGGGGAGGAGAAAAAAAAAGAAAAATGAGTAAAGCCTCTGACGTGTGGGACCCACATAGTTGGTGTAGGTACTGGAGATTAGCTTTTGGTAGTCCGTTGTGGGGGTGATCACAAAAAATGCAAAAGTAACTATTGGAGATGGAGAGAGAAGATGTTTTGGTATTGGGGGATGAGCAGGAGATGCTCTCAGAGGGAGGTGTGTTTTGGTGATCACCAAATTTTTTTTGGTAACAGGGATCGAATTGGTAATCTGTTGGAGCACCTCTCATCACCACAAGGACAGCTTTTTAGTATTTTGGAGTAGGATGAGTAGTCTGTTGGAGATGCTCTAACATTGTTTTATTTTAAATGGAAGATGCTCTCACCACAAGGACAGCTTTTTAGTATTTGGGAGTAGGATGAGTAGTATGTTGAAGATGCTCTCACATTGTTTTATTTTAAAGGGTTAAGTCTAATTTACACCCTCAAACTTGTAGCAAAGTTCGGATTTCAACCTCGAACTTCAAAACCGGACAACTTTGGCCCTCCAACTCTCGAAAAAGTTCAACTTTCAACCTTCTGGGCGGTTTTGCGGGTGAACAGTAACTTTTGATATTTTCGGGAGCGTCGAAATTTTATATTATTTTTTCGAGCATCTTAACGTTCTCAAATGAAAAAACTCAAATTTATATTATTTTTTGATCTTCATCCGCATCTTTGAAATTTTTGAAATTTGAGTCTCATCACGCGATAAAATTTTGTCAAAACTCAAATTTCAAAAATAGAAAACCCTTCAATACTATCTCTTGTAGATCTCATGAGATCTACAATTTACATATAAAATTATCTTCATCCGAGTATTGAAGATGTTTCTATTTTTTAAATCATCTCATCACAGCACAATATTTTTGTCGTGATGAGACTCAAATTTCAAAAATAGAAAACCCTTCATACGATGTCGGATGAAGATAATTTTTATATTTTGTAGACCTCGATGAGATCTACAACTTTGTAGTTTTGAGTGTTTTTATTTGAGGACGTTAAGATGCTTTTAAAAATTTCGAGTCTCAAAATATCAAAGTTACAAAAACCACAAGAAGGTTGAAAGTTGAACTTTTTTTTGAGGGCCAAAGTTGTTTGCTTGAAGTTCGAGGTTGAAATTCAACTTTGTTTTCTTAACCTATTTGCTCTAATGGAAGATGCTCTAACATTGTTTCTTTTTACATTTTAAATGAAATGAAACCCATTTTCTTTAGGGTAAATCCAAACTCAAAACTCGCATTTTTTAAAAGCCTTTCTTTACCCATTTTCTTAGGGTAAAGTTTTAGATTCCATTTTATCTCCAACTTCAACTTCAAAACCGGATAACATTGGCCCTCAACTCTCGAAAAAGTTCACTTTAGGACCAAACCGGTTTCCCAGCGGTTTTGCATGCATTGTTGATCTTGACGTCGTGATGACGTCAACTCCTTTTTAATTTGCAAAATTGATATCTTTTATTCGAGCTCCAAATATAGCAAATAATATATCAATTTTGATCGTCTCGACGAGCTCTTTTGCAATGGTGTACTCCGTTTTGTTGTTTGAGATAATTTTATTTCATGAAAAATAAATATTTCTACAAAACAAGTTATGCAATTAATTTCGACGTATGCAAGTATTTTATATACTTTGTATATTTATATATGTTTTCGATATATAAAATGAGGGTTGGAGGTCAATCGGACACGCTTACGATCGCTTAGATATTTTTTGAATTAACCTTCCCTAGTCATTTAACTAACTCACAACATATGACACGATCAAACGATATGTTTATCGCTCCCTAGTGTAGTTTTTTTTTCTGCTTTTTGTGGTGAAATTAAGTAGCTAGTGGTAGTAGTAGTATTATATTTATCTTGTACCCAAATCCGTCGATGATCACGATTCATGTACATGGCTACTATTGCAAAGACATTGAACTGGACGACCATTCGGCCGAACACAATGCGATATCTGCTTTTCTGGTGGCATGGCATGAGTATGACCGCATGAAGTGGCGGTGGATAGCTAGATTGAATTGAGGGAGCAGTGCGTGGCAATAGAATAGTGAGTGGCTTACTCGTGGTCTAGAATCTTGTGCGGCATCGGTAAGTTGAGCGCATGCCCTCGGAAGGTCGTCCGGCGAGGATCTCCGTATGGCGTCGGCGCTGCAGTCGCCTCGTCGCCGCTACGCGCTTGAAGCTGAAGTGGCGGACACCTAAAGCTCGAAGCTTCGTGTCGTCGCGAAAACCAACGGACACATTGCAAAATTGTTGAATTATTGCTAATATTTTGAAAATTATTGCGAAATATTTGAAATACGAGCGAAATATTTCTACAAAACAAGTTTTGAATTATTGCATTTCAAAAATGGTCAAACTTATATATTCTATGGTCAAATGAACCTAAAAAGACAACATTTCGTGTTACATAATAATAAAAATATTATTTATCTAACAAATTCCACGAGTTACATTATTCTAACTTGTTTTGTAGAAATATTTATTTTTTCATGAAATAAAATTATCTCAAACAACAAAACGGAGTACACCATTTGCAAAATGGAAGATGCTCTTGAATATTGTTTCTTTTTGACATTTTTTTGCAAATTAAAAAAAGCCTTTCTTTGCCCATTTTCTTTACCTGCTGATAAGTGAATTTTTTCGAGAGTTGGAGGCACGTTACACTCTTACAAACACAAACACAAAGTGGACACCTGCTGATAAGTGAAAACACGGGCGCACAAACACAAACACAAACACGGGCGCACCCCACTACCCGTATACCCGAGTCACCCACACCACACAACTCCACCCTCGCCGCAGAGCATCACCACCCAGTCACCCATACCTCCGGCGCCGCCTGCCCGGACGCGATGAGGAAGGCCCAGCGCCGCAGAGGGAAGTCGCAGGTTCGATTACCCTCTGTCATTTCTTCTTAGCCCGATCTGCTGCTGCATCTGCTTTGCCTGATTGCCAGTTATTATTAGGGCAAATTTGCCCTAAAGTTCGATTTGTGTTTCTCCCTTATGATCTGACTTATACCTTTCGCTTTCTTTCTAAAGATCTCAGGCATGCTACAACGCAAGGGAAATCCACAAGGCGGTAGTAAGTCCGATATATGCATGCGCTCCTTTTATTTTATAAGCTAAAAGAAAACCCACATATGATTCTGTCAGTCGTGCTTTCTCGAAAGATCTCGATACTATCATTGATTTCACATTGCTTCACACCGCTAACCACGTTTTAGCAGGCCATGGAGCATGTTGGTCGGATTCCGATGGTCCACGATCAAAATTTATCAAGTATGACGCTGAAAGTGTCGAGGATTTCAACAAAGACGGACTGAAATTCTTTGAATCGGTGTTTAAAGTCCGCAGATCTGTCGTGTCCCTTGCCTGTACTGCTGGTAATTTTTGTTATATACTCTCTTGCACCTACCATTTAGTTAGTTTTACTAATAATAGAGTACAGTACACGATGTTGCTCTCAGCCATAAAAAGCCTATACATTTGCACAATTTTTTGATGCAACAAAGAATGGGACTTCATAGCTTAAGTATGAGTTTACTGAGGGAAACAGCTCCGTGTGGGGCAGTGGTCAGTGGGCCAAGGGGCGGTTGAAATGAAACTAATGACAGTCTACCTGTGTTCTTTTTTCTTAGCAGTTTTATGTGGTAGGTTGGATGGATATGAAAAGCATACTGACAACATAATCTTTGTATATTAGTATGGAAAACATTTCTACTGGTGATTCTTGATTCTATTATGCTTGCACAGATGGAATGCATATGGTTTGCTCAGGGACTGTCGTTGATCATGTGTACGAGAAAACATGGATACTTACCTCTGCTTCTTTAGTTAGAAAACCTGGCACTCTGTTTGAAGCATATGAACCTTGGGATGTTAAGGTCAGCACTACAACAGCTCTTTTATTAGTCTGTTCATGCTGGCTTTCTCCTCTCCTGCAGTGGATAATTAGTTGTAAATTTATTGATTGCAGATTCAAGTGGCTCTGCACAATAAACAAATTGTTGAAGGGTCCCTAGAAATGTGCAATTTGCATTATAATATTGCCATTGTGACTATCGAGTCTCCAGGGTCTCGGATAAATCTTCCTGCGGTAGAACTCAGTGACCTCCCTGAATGTTATTCCTTGCAGCCTAGGCCTGTAGTTGCTCTAGGTCGGGACATGTACTCAAAAGATTTTCAGATGAGATGTGGGGAGCTGGTCAGAAGGAACAGCGAGTTAGACTGCACTGAGCTCCTGACCTGTACATGTGATGTCAGTGAGGTAAGATGATTTTGTATCTATATTTTGATATCTAGAGATAGCTTGTAACTACCTACCTGCATGTTGCAGTTAGCCATTTTGATTTATTGTTGCATTCCTAGTGCTTCATTTCAGACATGGAGATAAAAGTTAAATGAGTATGCTTCATGTTTCTTATAGTATGATTAGTTAGGAGAAAATCGTGTAGCACTAGACATTAGTGTGATAACACCATCATGCTTTTGACGTATTTCAGGTGCTGTTTTTTTTTTTTTGAAAACTATTTCAGGTGCAGTTTTTGTCGTAACATCTAGAAGTGATGCCTTCAGATTGAAAACACTGTTTCAAGCTAGACTATTTGTGTTTTTGTTAGATGGTTGTTTTCTAATATATTGTTTTCTTGGCGCGTTATTTACGTAAGGCATAAGTGAAGGTTCAACTCATTTCATTGTTGTGTCAGAATTTCATTGGTGGGCCTGTCATGGATTCTGAAAGAAGATTTCTCGGCATCACTTTTCGTTACCGGGAAACTACTCCGTTTTTGCCGGTTGAGATTGCAGCAAGATGCCTGAAATACTACAAGAAGTCAAAGTATATCTTCTTGCTTTCATTATAATTTTTTAGATATTGGTAGTATCACCTCCACAAATAGAATTTAACATTGTTCTTGCAAATCTTTTGTGTCTGTTATTTGCACCACAGGCACGTGTTGGTTACTGTGTGTGTAATAGCAAGCTGGATTTCTTTTGTATGTTTATTCGCTCTCTTCAAGATGTTTTGTCAGCAAGATTCTTTTCAACAATTAAGTTTCAACTATCTATTGCCACTTCACTGTAATATTCTTAGCCTCTGATGATTATTTTCTATTTTTCGGTTTTTCCTCATTAGATTCTAACCGAGGGATCTCTGGTCCCAGCTTCTGTCTCTGTAGATTCAGGTTTTATGGGTTGTTTTCTCCTTTCATTTGTGCACATGCGTTGTAATCATGAGGAAGCTAGGGCCGATATCCTAACAACTCTTTCTTCTGCGTGTTTGAGGGAAAAGAAAGATGCTAACACCCTCACTGCTATAATATGGTACTATGCATTGAATATTGCCTGTATATCATCCCATTAGTGATTACTAATAAATATTTAAGTGTTTTTTTGCACAGCAAGATTTGAATATTTGATGTGTAGTGCTAGACTTTCTTATGCACAGTAATGTTCACAGTAGCATGCTTCTTGCTACCTGGGAATAGTAGTAGTATGACTTCTATGTTATTTAAAAGATCTCTGAACTCTAGTTGTTTCCTCGGCCTTTCATGATTTTTTAATGTTGTTAGACTGCGCCCAGTCTCTATTACGCTACTTGATAATTGCTTCGCAACTTTATGTTATTATAAACTAACATAACAATGATTTTATGCAAGTGCTTTTAGTGAAATCTTGTGACGTACTTTCATATGGCCAATTTTGAAAATTTCACAACAATGTTTGAAATATTGATATTCAAATTCTAAAACAAAGAAACAGATGGATATCTTGCAAGTAAGGCTTACGGTGTGAAAGATATTATTGATATACCATTATCGTTGACATTGGAATTTTATGATGGGTGCAGAACACTACCAAGGGTTCGCATAAGGGGACAAGCTCTTCACATGCTGAGCATGAATAGTCTGGAACACTTGTGCTGCAAATATGCCAAGCCACCACATGGAATTCTGGTACAGGAGGTAGGCAACGCACTTGCACACAAATCTTCTAGTTTAATAGCATTTACTCCATCTAGATCACTAATTATGTTAATGTTAGAATGTTCCTATTGTCCTGAGTTTTAACTGTGATTTAAGCATTTTAATGCCTGCTGAATGGCAATTTGCTTAGTTTAGAATGTCTGGTCCTTGGCACAACGAGCATTCTGAACTTGTTATTAATGATGCAATCATGTACAAAGAACAGCATGCATGAGCCGATCATTTGTTGTCTAGTTGATTTGAAAGAGCAACTTTCTCATTAAGTTCCACCTGATCAAAGGATTTTTTTTTTAACTAATCAAAGGATCTTTTAAATTGCAAATTTCATCCTCCATCCCCCTTATGAAGTAGGTATAGGTGAGGCCTAGTCCGCACATATCCATGCACCTTAGCAACGTCCTGCTCATGGTGATAGAAAAAAAAAATCTTCTTATGCTAAAATAGGAAACCAGATCTCCTTAATTTTATGAGATTAGAAAAATGAGGTTAGGTTTACTGGCATATAACAATTACCTGAAAAATTATTTATTTTTTATGCAGTAATTTGCAGTGGCACTTCTGTTTGTACAGCTATTCCCACCAGTCATGAAAGTTGGCATTTTGGGTTGTGGAAATAGTTAACATATCAAAACTTTGATTGTTTCATAATCATATAACTTCGTGTGTATTAAGATTGAAGATCTTAAAATGGTATGAGTAGATTTGTCTCAAAAATAGTTTCATAATCATGTAACTTTGCCAGGATTTGTAAATATTTCTAGTAGAGATTAGCCGTCAAAATATGTTTTTGCAACCATGTTGATACTCAAAACACCACTTTTCATAACTGTTGGTAGTTTTTTGTCCCAACCTTCAATATTCAACATATGACCAAAGTTATTGATATCCATCGACTATCATTAGTTTTCTGTGAAGTAATAACTATTAACTAACATTATTAAAAAGGGATAAATACTTAACAAATGTTGTTTTCCTTGTTCCCCAGCTCGTTTTAGTATTAGCAGTTATCCACTGCCTTAGTTCTTTAAGTTTCATTTTTTAGCTCCTCTTGGCTTCTATGCTTTACTGCCCTCTGTTAGTGATGTTATTGAACTACCATTTTTTTAAACTATTGATCAAGAAGTTACATTAGTTCTGATACACTTTTTTATAAGATGGCCTTTCTCAATTTGTTCTGTCAATAGCTCCTGCCGTTGGATTGGGCAATGATAACCTTTTGTCCTAAGCCTGCTGTGTTGCATGGATATGCCCTTTGCAACATCAATCATCTGCCTTTTGCAACATTATGGTGTTCATTTCAATTCTATTTAATTGATTTTTTTTACTTTATGAAAATGTAATTTCATTGTATGCTATTTAGTTATACATCTTTGTTTGTTTAATTTTTCTTGAGATAGATAGCTAACCAAGCCATGCAAGATAATTTGTTCAATACATGTTTGTAATAGTCAGAGAATGAGACTATCGTTACTTTCTTGGTGTGCGTAAACTTATTCTTAATCCTATGCACACTGTAGATTTGTGAGATATCAGCAGAAAAGTGTGGAGGAGTTGTGATTGGTGATATCATCTCTGAACTTGATGGGATTACTCTTTACTCCGCAGCGCAGGTATCACATTTGTTTATAGATCATCACTTTCCGTGTCATTTTGCTGAAGTTTTTAGTGAATGTATCTGTCCTAGATAACAAATTCATATAAAACCTTGTACCCTTTTTACAACATGATAATTTTTTTAATCATTTGAAAAAATGATAAAGTCCTAAAATTGTAATATTGGGAAGAAACATTTGTTCCTGGCTTCATGCTGCACTATTTGGCATTTCATTTCTGAGCCATGAGAAATATGTCGACTTGTCTATATGTTTATAATGACTTACTAGTTACTCCCTCCATTTTGCTATATTTGTGCACGCCCGTCCTAGTGCCCAGACTAAGAAGAGTCAAAACTCGATGTTAAAGAAGCAATAGATCAACCACAATCATAGCACTTAGGAAACATGTGAATCTGCCATAAATGCTCTACATGCATTTTCCCCTATAGAAAGCATACTATGCGTTTAAGGTCTATTGGAAACATGAGACTAGTCGTTGTCACAAGGGAGGTGGACAAACATTTTGAAATGGGTACTCGTGGGACCATGCATTGCAAAACGGAGAGAGTATTACAGTAGAATATTCCTCTTCATTCATTTTATCATCAACTGATATGGTTTATCTCTTTTTACTCACCACTTCATCACCACATTGCTCTGCTTCCAATGCATTCTGGTTGAAGAATTTGAATATGTTTGCATATCATTTTAACGGGAGGTCCTGATTACACCTGGAGCTGATGCCTGTGTATTTTGTGCTTTTCTCAGTTTACAGCGATTCTTCTAGATAAAATGGAGGTTGCATCGAATCCACAGAATACACAGACACTCCAGGTTAGTTTGAATAGTGATTAGTCGATAATGATTTGCTTACTATGTTAACTTTTGCTACTTACAACTGAGCAGGCAGTTGTACGGAGACCCACAGATCAGACTATATTTGTTGCAAAGCTGAATGTTCAAGAGATCGCCTCTGACGAATGTGAAGAGTCATTCCAAAATAAGTCTGTCTTCTAAAAAACACCTTTGAGACTTGTATGTCCTTTTATTTTTGTTGATGATTGATGCAGTTTGCTTCAATTATAGATGGATACGGTGGAAGCAGCTATGGTTTCCATGAGCAGTTGTAGTGATGATACTTCAAAGACAATGTGAGTACATCCTTAGATACTGGTATAATTAGGTTATGAAGGCTTATTACATCTGTTTCATCTTAGTGCATCAACCACCTCTACCCTCATGATACACTTCACATAGTTTACTTAGACATCATCTCTCTCCACCGCGCCAGTTGTGGAGCTATCTTGAAACATACCATTTTGTTTGCACGAATACCCAAGTTAGGATTAGTGATCGACCCTAGAACAATATGGAAATTATATACAGGACTGACCTTACAAGCTGCAAGGCCTGTTCCTTCATTGCTATGAACCAGAACTTAACTTCATTGCCTGGGCTTAGGTATGGTGCATAAGTGGCTCTCCATTTTGTTCCTGTTTGTTACGTGTAGTTTATTTAGGAGGAACACAAAAGAGTTTGATTATGTTGTACAGGGACTCAAATTTTGTATGTTTTGTTTTCAATGCTGAGAAAGAAATAGAATAGGAATTAGCTAATTTTAGTTTTCTAGTTCACTGTTTAAACGTTTAACATTTCATCTAGTGTTTATGATCTTTTCTCAAGGGTATGCGATGGTGTTTTACATGGTCAGATCAGAGAATGTTGAACATAAAAGATATGCTGTGTGATGACAGCTCATTGATGTTTAATTAATCTCTCTTTCACTGTTTCTTGTTTTGCTGGTAGAAAAGTATAGATTCTCCCTTTTACTACCTGTGTCTGTGGGATGGAAACACCTGCATCACCAATTCACCATTTGTTTATTTGGTGCTAAGTCCTCATATCCTTTTGTCCTTTGAAGCTGATTTTATTTCATGTGGCCACACACTGAGATTTTGCCATCGTCCATTAGCATGACACAAGCTATAATGAAATAACTGCATGTTCAATATAAGCCTGTGCCATATATGGGAATAATGTGATGTCAAGAAAATAAATATGTTATTTATGTCTTCCTATGTGATGCGCAAAGTCTACTTTTCAGTTCCCAAAGGTTAACTACCATTGCTATGGGAAGTGTAGAATGGTTCTGTTTCTTTTTCTTGCTATAGCAAATGGTCAGGAAAGCACCTAACAGAAACTGGTTGGTTTTTATCAATAAAGTTAAAACTGGGCTCAAATCTGGAATCTAATGTATATGCCAAAGCCCAAATCTGTAATCTTTTTGCTTCCAAAATAACAGCTGTTTACCTCGGAACTGAACCTCTCTCGTTTTGGGCGCGGTTCAGGTTTCCAAAATATGTGGTGATAGCCTCCCTCTCTTAACTTGCTAATTGAGATGCCCTTGCAAAGCATAGATGGCCTTAGCTTTTTTCTACAAGAAATGTTTGAAAAGATGAATTCTGCATGGTCTGCTGATATGCTTTCATTGTAGCACCACCGAATTGCAATTCTGTTATTATGTTTTTCCTTGGCTGTTCATGTGTCTCAAGTTCTTTATTTCTGCTGTAAATATGCTGTAATTAGGTATGTAGTCTGTTATTATGTTTTTCCTTGGCTATTCATGTGTCAAGTTCTTTATTTCTGCTGTAAATATGCTGTAATTAGGTATCTAGGATGAGGAGTGCTGATGATGTCTGGATGACAATTTGTGCGAGGGCTGGAGCATAAGATATGGAAGGCCAACGAATGTTTGTAAATGTGGGAGCCAAGACTAAAGCAAGAACTAAAATAATTGTCGGATTAGGCTGGAGACCCTACTTTGTGCTGAATTTGTAATCCATCTCTGGGGCCATCAGAGTGTTGTATTTTCAGTTCAGTATGCCGTTAAGGCTTTCTTTTGTAGCACGGTTCACCAACCACTAGTTCATTTGGGAAATGCGCTGTCTAAACTAGCGATATGACTAGGCAGCGGTAACTGAACCATGACTGTTTTCAAAGTTTCAGATTTCGGGCTAGCGCTGCTGTGATGGTTGGTTGTTAATTATGCATTGCATGTGTTGTTGCGAGACAATTTCTCGCGCACCCGCGCTACCAAAAAATCACGACCACGGGACCACATCTTCGTCATTGTCACTCCGGTTGGGCTCTCCAACCAATTCCTGACTGAGATGTTCCAATTGAAGAAAGGATTTGTTGCAGTTGCAAAAATCGAACCTTCCAACTCCCGACACTACCTGCCACCTGTATTATAGGCGTGAAGGTGGGGATTGGGGAAGAAGCACCAGAGGGGACTGGAGCACCAGTGCACCACCCTAGCGGACATGCAAGGTGGTATGAGGTCCCCTGTAATGAGCACGGAAGAAGAAACGTCTGGGATGGCGGCGGGAGCCGGTAGAGCGAGCTCGTGAATAAGGCGGCCCACCGGGCAGTGCTGTGTGCTCCCGGCAAAATGCTTGGCGTTCACCAGACCTTATCTAATGAACACTTTCAGAATTTTAAAAAAACGACAACTTTTAAAGATAATTGAAAACTCGCATATAGGATTCTAGGTTTACACTAATGTCAAAATAAATATAGCAAACTGTTGCTACAACTTTTTCAAAAAAAAAAAAAAAAATCTACTATATAATTTGTTGATCCGCTATATAATTTGAATTGTTGATCTTCTACATAATTTGTTGGCAGGAGTTTCAAAATAATTGATACTCCGGTTCCAAATACATCAAGTTATCCTAACACCTTATATTTAAGACAATGGGAGGGAGCATGTTCCATTGGCAAATTCATATGCGGCTCATATGTCCATACTGGCAATTTTTGAAATTCTAATCGGGACAAAGTTGTGTCAACCAACAGCTCAGAATGCTGGCAACAAGAAATAAGAGAGTACATGTACTTGTCCTAGAATGAAATCCATACACAATTCTGGCATCCAAGAGTTTGATCCCCAGGTCCCAGGACCATTGGTCGTTTACTCTCAAATAAATAGTTCAAGCGCTGATGCTTGCAACAAGTATATGCGCACTCAAAAGGCTAAAACAACACTACAGAGCTCGACACAAGGTGCTAGACGGGGAGGATTCCCGTGAGAAGGATTCCCATGCATACCATTTTTCGCCTTCAAGTTTCCCGCGTACATAGGTCTTAACAATTGTTGGCTTTGGAAAAGGCCACCTGGAATTAAACAAAGAGACTAGTCATTGCCTATTATTTTTCACTAATTTCACACATGGCAAGTTTAATTTAATATGCAATAATATTACTTGTTTAAACCACCAGATGTAAGCTTGTTAACGACAATCGTTCTTTCATGTTTACAGTTCCTCAGACCAAACTGGATTGAAAATACAAACAAGAGAAGCAGCAGTGATTAGAACATTCAACAACTTGACCCACAGCAACATCTTATAATGGATTCTTTTTTGTGTTACTATTCAATAGACCGAACCTTAATGCATATTGCCATCTTGTTGGAGTCTGCAAGGTCAGAGCTCGGGTTGTCCATGAGATAAGTAGTACCTATATCCAGCAGTATGCCACCAAGCTGGTACCAAAAATAACATCAAAGATTCATTATACAATATTATGGGGTGAATTCAATTGCCTCCAGCAAGCCTTGTATGAAAAATAGCATGCTAGAACGAATGTTTTGGATGCCTCCTAGCAGGACAGCCTAAACAGTCAAATGCATATGCATTTGCTTCCACTGATTCTCATGGCAAGCATGAGCGGATCCAGCACCTAGGGAGCAGCTAATGGCTGACCAACCCAGATGTTTGGATACAGAAGTTATTCAAATGCACCATCGAATAAAAATACAGAAATGCAGTTTCCCATGGGTATGAAATATGAAAAGACATGGACACTTCTGCCTCTTGGAAACCCAGCAGTATATGTTGTAGATTGTCTTCCAAAGCCCATAGCTTCCTTTCCCATAGTTTAAATTTGATACATGAGTAATGCATTACAACTTTGTAGTAATGTGAAATTTCAATAAAGTTGACTTATGTGCCTCAGAATCCATCTAAAGTTTCTTGACCCTAATCCTTCCACCCAGTAGTTCAAGTTTCACACAAACTTGTATTCTCATTCTTATTAGAGTTCTAAAAGAAATATCTAAATGCATTAAAAAATAAAAATATTTTAAGTGTTTTTTAAGTTCTGAGAAACATGTGATTGTGTTGTACTCATGTTTGGCAGTATTTGTATATTCAATACTATCCTAGTAGCATGTGCCCTTGCTGACTGTTGTGATCAGCCCCTACACCATAATAGAATGTAAATCTGATCCAAAGAAACATCTCACAGCTGGCCCATAAAAGCCAAGCAACCAAACACATCCAGCTTGCATTCATTCAGCCTTCAAGCTCAGGTTGGGTGCCTCATACAAGGACATATCCAGAACATACCTCTGCTGCATTAGAGATATAAACACCATTGACTTGATTGATGATATCCCCTTCATTCAAACCAGATGCTTTGGCAGAAGAATGTTCTTCAATCTACAATTCCAACATGCCCATCAAATCGAAAACCAAAAATACGGAAATCAGGACGTCACTGTGACGAGGTAAGACCACCACAAGACAAAGATTTCCTTTAGTAGAACCAACATTTATGTCCTAAGTTTCATATGTTCTGTATCGATTCACTAGGAAGAAAGAGGCAAACAAGAAGACAGAAAAGCAAACCTTCTCAATAACAACACCAGGGGCCCCATGGAAGTTCGTTTGCATCTTTTCATGTGCAATAGATCCTTCTGCATGAAGAGTTCTAACTCGCAGCCCATGCCATGGTCTTACAACAGTACTGCATCACCGTTGCAAAGGAAACAAAAAAAAGATTAAAATCTGTGATTCTGACAAACCATGTATTATTTTCTGCATCAGAAAGCTGACCAGCACCTTTCCTATTGCATGAAATGGCGCGCAAGAGTTCTCACAAGCAAATAAAGTAAACAGATAGGTAAGTCCATATACACGACGAAGAGTTCTCACATTAAGATTAATACAGATATAATTGGTAGGTATCCACAAATAAGCAAACTAAAACTGACAAACATAGGGAGAAGGATTGCCCCACCATAGTTCATAACAATTCGCACTAAGTGAAGAAAGGCACAAGTACTGTCCTGATATAGTCATGAAGCTTTATGGCATTTACAAAGCATGCTCCTATACCAAGCATCTACCACATTTAGCACCACAAGTTCACAACATCACCGTCCCAAATCATAATTACTTTCAACCATAGACTAAATAAAACTCCCTCCGTCCCAAATTATATGCCGTTTTGGCTTTTCTAGGTTCATAGATTTTGTTATGCATGTAGATATACACCGTGTCTAGATACATAGCAAAATCTATGAATCTAGAAAAGCCAAAATGGCTTATAATTTGAAACTGAGGGAGTAATAGCTAAACTTATAAAGAATTTTGCCAGTCATGAACATGTCATGCTGGCCAATTAGCCGAAGCTCCAATCTAGGGATTCCTGGTGATCCCAGGTCCCAAGGGACATGTAGAGATGGAATTCACCGAACCTATTTAGTATTTCTTTAAGTAAAGCGAGAACAATTAAATGCATACCGGAATAATTTGAACTGCTGCAAACACTTCAACACAATGAAACTTGGAACAAAAGGAGTTTCCTTAGCGTGATAATAGTTCATCCCAATGAAATTTCCTTCGAAGTCCATCAGCGGACCCCCAACTTCTACCTGCAAAATATAATGGAAGTCACTATATTATTCAAAAAGGACATAGAAGTATGAGCTTATAAAGTTTGGATTACATAAAGGAAAAGGTCCATTTTACTTCTCAAGCCTTTTCATTTGCCCAGATAACCCCCTACTTTTTTCTCACCAAAGGACTTAACTACAACTACACAAAAGCAGGCCAGTTTCACTCCCTAATGACCTTTGTCCCTTTTTTTTTCCTTACAAAAGTTGCATTTGAAGTTAAAATTTTGTGAGATGATATATGTCGCCATACCCTAAGCAAAAAAATTATTCAAAATGGTTTTTGGGACTATTTGCCTATATTTTTACATCTTGAGCTCTAAAGATCTAACTCCGCCTATGGTGGGGCGCCTTTGGTATCCCAGCATAGCAGGTCCCAAGCCCTGATAAAGGAGGAGGGTTGTGTTAGGCGCGGCGAGCCAATGTAAAAATTTAGCCACTTTTATGGAGATGAAACCCATAAAAATCCCGTTGGGGCGTAACCCTCTTAGCGACGCGCCATGTCGGAACCCGGATATGGTGTTAAATGAGCAAGAGCCGGGCCGTCACCCCCGTGACGCGCCGTGTCGCGGTCTGGGCACGGTGTCAAGTGAGCAAGGATCGGGTCGTCGCATCCTTGGTGGCGCGCCACATCGGCGCCCTGGTGTGGTGCAAAATGAGCAAGGGTCTTCACACCTACCTCGGCGGGTGCGAAGGGTAAGGAAGCTAGTCGAGCCAACTAGGATCCGTTTAGGTAGCTGGAATGTGGGGTCCCTTACGGGTAAGTTAAGAGAGTTAGTGGACACAGCGGTTAGGAGGCGTGTAAATATCTTATGCGTCCAAGAGACTAAATGGACGGGGCAGAAGGCGAAAGAGGTGGACAATACTGGTTTCAAGCTCTGGTACACAGGGACAACTTCAAATAAAAATGGAGGAGTTTTGATTTACAAGAGCCTCAAGGATAGTGTGGTGGAGGTGAGAAGGCAAGGGGATAGGATCATCTTAGTTAAACTTGTCATTAGTGATTTGGTTTTAAATGTTATTAGTGCGTATGCCCCTCAAGTAGGCCATGATGAGAGTGCTAAGCGGCTTTTCTGGGATGACTTAGATCGCTTGGTTAGAGCTGTCCCTAGTAGTGATAAGCTCTTTATAGGAGGTGATCTTAATGGCCACGTAGGTACATCAAGTGCAGGTTTCGAAGCGGTTCATGGGGGGTTCGGATATGGTAGTAGGAATCAGGAGGGAATGGAAGTCTTAGACTTCACTATAGCTTTTGATCTGATGATAGCTAACACTTTCTTTTGTAAGAGACAGTCCCATTTAGTGATCTTTAGTAGCGGCCAGTACTCTAGTCAAATCGACTTTGTCCTTACAAGGAGGAGGGATAAACGAACATGCGTGGACTGTAAGGTGATACCTGGAGAATGTGTGGTCGCTCAACACAGGCTGGTGATGGCTGACTTCCGCTTTCTGGTGCAAGCTCGTGGAAACAAACAAGGTAGGGTCGCTAGAACGAAGTGGTGGAAATTAGAAGGGGAGGCATCAAAGGTCTTTAAGGAAAAGGTCATTGAAGAGGGCCCTTGGAAGGATGAAGGCGATGCAAACAACATGTGGGAGAAGATAGCAACATGCGTTCGGAAGGTTGCTTCAGAGGTGCTTGGAGTGACCAAAGGGAGCGGATGCTACTCGAAAGACACTTGGTGGTGGAATGAAGATGTGCAAAAGGCTATTAAGGAAAAGGAGGAGTGCTATAAGCGCTTGTATCATGACAGGTGTGCAGACAACACAGAGAAGTACAAGGTGGCAAAGAAGACTGCAAAACGAGCGGTGAGTGAGGCAAAGGGGCGGGCCTATGAGGACCTTTACCAACGTTTGAGTACGAAGGAAGGAGAGAAGGACATTTATAGGATGGCTAGGGCTTGCGATAAGAAGACAAGGGACTTCAATCAAGTCAAGTGCATAAAGGATGAGAGGGAGCAGCTCTTGGTGAAGGAGGATGAGATCAGGCATAGATGGCAAGAGTATTTTGATAAATTGTTCAATGGTGAGAATGGGAACACCACCGTTCAGCTAGACGACTCGTTTGATGACACTAATAGACGCTTTGTGCGGAGGATTCAAGAATCGGAGGTCAGAGAAGCCTTGAAAAGGATGAAAGGGGGCAAAGCGATGGGCCCTGACGGTATCCCAATCAAGGTGTGGAAATGTCTCAGGGATATAGCTATAGTATGGCTAACCAGGATGTTCAACAATATCTTTCGATCGAACAAGATGCCTAAGGAGTAGAGAAGAAGCATATTGGTACCAATCTACAAGAACAAAGGAGATATCTAAAGTTGTACTAATTATCAGGGAATTAAGTTGATGAGCCACACTATGAAGCTATGGGAGAGAGTTATCGAGCATCGCCTGCGAGGTACGACGCAGATATCCAAACCAATTTGGTTTCATGCCCAGAAGGTCAACAACAGAAGCAATCTTCTTAATAAAACAAGTTATGGAGCGGTTTAGAGAGCAGAAGAAGGACCTCCACATGGTTTTCATCGACTTGGAGAAGGCTTATGACAAGATACCAAGAAATGTTATGTGGTGGGCTTTGGGCAAACATAAAGTCCCATCAAAGTACGTGACCCTCATCAAGGACATGTACAACAATGTTGTGACCAATATTCGAACAAACGATGGTAACACGGATTGCTTTTCGATTAAAATTGGACTTCATCAAGGGTCAGCCTTAAGCCCGTATCTCTTTGCCTTGGTAATGGATGAGGTTACCAGGAACATACAAGGGGATATTCCTCGGTGTATGTTGTTCGCTGATGATGTAGTGTTAGTAGACGAAAGACAGGCGGGAGTAAATAGGAAACTAGAGTTATGGCGGCAGACCCTTGAGTCTAAAGGTTTTAGATTGAGCAGAACTAAAACCGAATACATGAGATGCGACTTTGGCGGAGATGCACAGGAGGAGGGAGATGTGAGTTTGGAAGGTCAAGTAGTGCCTAAGAAGGATACCTTTTAGTATCTGGGATCGATGCTACAGAGGGATGAAGATATTGATGCGCACGATAGCCATAGAATCATAGCAGGGTGGATCAAGTGGCGACAAGCTTCTGGCATTCTCTATGACAAGAGAGTACCACAAAAGCTAAAAGGCAAGTTTTATAGAACGGCGATTAGACCGGCTATGTTGTATGGAGCAGAATGTTGGCCTACAAAGATTCGACATGTTCAACAACTGAGTGTTGCAGAAATGCGTATGTTGCGATGGATTTGTGGTCACACAAGAATGGACCGAGTTTGGAACGATGATATACGTGATCGCCTACGGGTAGCACCAATTGAAGAGAAGCTTGTCCAACATCGGTTGAGGTGGTTTTGCCATGTCCAAAGGAGACCTCCAGAGGCACCAGTGCATTGTGGAGTCCTAAGCCAAGCTAATAATATGAGGAGAGGAAGAGGACGACCGAAATTGACATGGGGGGAGGCAATTAAAAGAGATTTGAAAGCTTGGGATATATCTAGAGATCTATGTTTGAATAGGAGTGCTTGGAAAGCAGCTATTGAAGTGCCTGAACCGTGACTTGGGACTCTTGATGGGTTTCAACTCTAGCCTACCCCAACTTGCTTGGGACTGAAAGGCTATGTTGTTGTTGTTGTTGTTGAGCTCTAAAGATCTCTTCCCAACCTATGACGACAATCATCCCACAAAATTTCAACTAAAAACATGACTAATATGAGAATAAACAAAAAGGATAAAATAGTGAGACAAGAAAGTGGTTAGGGGTTCTAGACAACTGAAAAACGAAAAAACGTTGGCCAAGTAATAAGGATTTCTCCTTACATAGAAGAGAAGGAATGTTACTTACGTGAAGTGGCTGTATATAAGCCTAGTTTCTATGCATATTGATATACATCTAATAATATAAATGTATCACATAAAAGAGGGTCAACTTCATTGTTCCCAAGAGCATAGAGATGGCAAACTAGGCGTGGGCAAAGAGGTGACTACTTGTCAAGTGGACATTACATCTGACTTGATATCAACGGACATGGAGCATGGCTGCAGCAATAACTCCTGTCAGGCAGCCATGAGATTCATTTTGATAATTCAGTTGGGAGATAGAATTATTTAGTTTATTAATTAGCTATAATGTCTATTGTTAGGATGTGTTCAGAAGCATAGTGCACAGCATAGGGCAAATTAGCATTTGTGATTGGCCAAGTAGGAGAAAAGCTTTGGTAGTTGTTTGGGATAGCTCACTAAGTTAGCTCAAACATTTAGGGGCACCTATTTAATAAAGTTACCTTTATTGTCACAGAATTGAGTCTAATAAAAAAAGTTCTACATATGTTCAGAAAGAAGCATAGGGCACAGTAATAGGGGAATTAAACAGATAGGTCAATTTAGGCGATAAAATTTGCTAGGTCTCTACACCCTCAAGGAGGTCACCCTCATTGTCATTGGCTTAAGCATTATCAATAAACACCTAAAGTCCTTTTGCCAATCCTGTATGTATGGGCTAAAATAACAGCCTTCAGCTATAAAAGGGCAAAAGACTAATGTACCAAAATTAATTAGCATGGGCGTGGAATTATTGGATGAAATTCAAATGGGGACTGCAACAATAGACACCATGATATCAACACAAATACATTCTATAATATACTCACCCTTGAAATCCTGCACGTTGATACTAAAAGTTCGTCACAGTCAAACTTGCTACTTTTTGGAACAATCTTTCCTGTAGTAACCAGTAAGTCACGAGCCTCTTTGTCACGACCCAATGTAACCACATCTCTTGAATAGATCTTGTCAAAGTTGATCGCCTCCATATTTGAACTAAATCTTTTTTCTGGCAGATGGAAAGGAGACTGAATCTGAATCACACAGATGTTGTGATAAAAATCATGATAGGACAGGTGGCCTTTCAAAGTTTTATAATCTTGCAGCAAATATACAGATATCTACAACAAATAAAAAAGAGTAAAGAATTGTTAGTGTTTATGGGGAAGGCCGACCAAAACTTCACCGATTATAATAAAAAGATGGAGCCAACCTTCAGATTGTCAGCTACTTCAACAGCATCTGGACTTTTAACCAAATTTGCAACTGTCACAATCATGCTACTCTCTTCGAAAAAATCAACAATGGTACCAGAGCAAGAAAAAAGGTACTTGTCTCCTACAATAAACAAAAGCGAATCATTGAATCATTTTAAAATAAACAAGTCAAGACTCAAGACAAGAATAAGCAACAGATCAAATTGACAATCAGTGAAAAAATCACCTGTAAAAGATTGGAGCCCAACCACAGAAGCACCAGCCTGCAAAGCCAACCTCTCAACTTCCCAATTAGCACCCTTCAGTGTAGTTTTGAAAAGCCCAGTATCCGAGGCTTCAAAATATGGGCGCCATTCTGGTAAAATTTAAATAGAAAGTAACACCGAATATTATAACATTTTTTAAACGTTTACTTAACAAGGTTCTCATTAAAAAGTAGTGTGTATTCTGAGCCACTGTGAGCTACGTAAAGAATAATGGTAAATAATGATGAACATGTTGTAAATGAGATCATTTGGTTTTCACTGATCAGTACTTGGTAATATTGTTGCACAAGTTTTAAATGAGACAATTTGCATGCATAACTGGCTCTTTTGTTCTCTCATGTTTCATTATTCTTATGCTTGCTTTTGACTGGTCTATTTGAGATACCTTCGAGTAGAGTGAAAATCATGAAACTATGATTATGTTTTTTTAAATTGTTTATCGCATGGTGTATGACAGGATGCCATGAGTATTTTTAATAAATCATTGCTTGTACTACTCAGATAAAAAAACTCTCCTGATACCTTCCCAAAACCTGCTCATAAAATTCTTGACTAGAATACAACTCACCTCCCATGCCCATTTTTTCACTTGTATCACCAGCTACTACCTCAGCTGCATGGAGTAAAAGATAGAGCATAGTCAGTGACAGTATTCAATATAAGAATGATGGGAGAAGAGAAAAAAAAAGGGTCAAACGCTTACTTATATCTTCCGAATCATTATCACTAGTTTCAGGCAGTTCTTCCAGATTCTTCCAGAGTTTGTTGCGGGCAAATTGCTCATAAGCACTTATCTCTTCCTGACGCAAAGTTTCTGCTTCCTTGCGCTTATTTCTTCTCTGATTCTGCTGCTCCCGCCTCAATCTCGCAAATTCTGATCTCCTTTGAATGGTAACTGAATCATCCTTCCGAGGGCGAAGGTTATAAGCCCTTTGCTCCACACGTGTACTTAGTACCCCAATAATAAAACTCTGGCCCTAAGTGTTTGAGAGGAATGATAATATGTCACCATATGGAAACAGTGTGCATTCAGATAATGATATAGACCAATGATATATGCTAATATTCTGATTTTGTATCAAAATAGAACCCTATCCACCAATGAAGTTCATGGAATAAACATAGAAATAAGTGTGCACAATAGTTACCTCTACTAGCTCTCTCCTCTGCTGGCTTGCATTTTGATCTTCACTACATGGATCAGATGAGGATGAATCTCCATCTGACAGGAAAGACATCTCCTAGCAAATGCACAAGGAACACATAAATCATAGGACCACATATGATGTTTATGTAGCAACTGTGACATAAATATAAAGGTGTAAATCTTCAGATAGATATTAGATATCCATAGAACTTGAAGACTATCAAGGAAAGGATTTTGTATCAGTCACAGAATGAGGAAAATCATGTTGACAGGAACAAGCTAGTGGGCCTGAACATTAGAGAGGAAATCACATCCTGAAGCAATGAAAATCAAGGTTGCAAAAGGCGCTAGGCGGGATCTAGGCGGTGACCCTTCGCCTAGAGCCTAGGCGCGCCTAGGCTTGCCTAGGCGTTTCCTAGGCGAGCCTGAGAACCACAGCAGAGGAGGGAGGAGGCCAGGAGCAGAGGAGGGAAGAACAGAGGAGGAGGCGGCGGGGAGCAGAGGAGGCAAGAACAGAGGAGGGAGGAGATGAGGAGCTTGGCCGCTTGGGGCACGGGAAGACTCACCGCAGCGAGGGAAGAGTCCGAGCTCATGGCGGCCGGGCGTCGATGGAGCAAATCGGGGTAGCGCGACACGAGCTCGACCGGCGGCGGGAGCAGATCTCGACTGCGGCGGCGGTGAGAGCTCCTGGTCCCTCTCTCTTTCTCCAACCCTAGCAGTGGGCCTATACTTAGTCAAAGAGGCCAACAAAGCAGCCCAAGCCCATCCAACCGACCAACCCTTGTCCGGTTTCTCAACGGCCTAACTTGATGCAGGTGTGGTGACAGCTAGCATGAATGCGAACTGCACGGATTTTTATCTTGTTCAAGGATGTAGAAACCGTGTCGGAAATGTGCAAATTCTGATACGAAAACTAGTTGTAGTTGCAGTGATGCAGAATGAGAACTGCATGGGCCTGCCTTTTGTTTTGTGCCAGAGAAGTGTTAAGTTCTGATATTAATTCTGTATGGGCTTGGGATATCCCCATTTTCAACTACTCCATGTGTTTTGGAGTGGAAACCGAGCTAATCATGGTTTCCAAACGAGGCTTCATTGTAATCACTGTGATACGAGCATGTTGTGCATACTTGTTGGAACACCCTCGTTTATCAAAGCGATGCCATGCATGTGTTTGCATTTTGATGATTAGCTTTTTACTAGTTTGCTACCTCTGTTCTCGAAATGCAGTGATGGTGCATGCACGCATCAGTTAGCGTCATGATAAGCAAATGCATGCATTGTGCAATGTGTTGTTGGTAGCTGAATCGCTGCAACTATTTCAATCTGCCAGTCTTGCTGTATGAACGGAATGCTTGTGAATGCCCGCAACGGTGGTCGTCGCCACGCCTCACCTACCGGCGACAGCAGGGCCGATGACGATCGTGGCTGCACAAACGGATATCACAGCCTTGTGCGGCAGCTTCGGCCGATTACAAATCACCAGCCGTGGCTACGGCATCGTTGTGATTCCCGGTCGCTGGCAATCTGGCATGCTGGCATGGCATAGTTGCTCATCCCTGCTCTGTCTCGTCCGTCCAGGTCCAGCCATTGCCAAATAGCACTCGCGGGCGGCTAGAGCATTTCTTCGTCATAACATCGTAATCTTCATCACATCCCTCTTGCTGTCTCAGAATCTCTGTATGCATGCAATCGCTGTGGAAGTTGGATGCACACGATGACCGGAAGACCGTCAGAGTTGGAGATGGCGAACGGGCCAAACCTAGTGACACGATTGCATGGGAAAGACTACTATAAAAATAAAAAGGATTCAATTAGATTTACTTTTTATTTAATAATTGATGCGAGATAATGAGGGCTGACCTTAAGTTCACCACATTTTATATGAATGTGAACAATTTAATAAAAAAAGTCTTTTAAAAATTAGACTCCGAAAAAAACAAGCGTGTTTCAAAATCTAGGTTTTGGCTGAGATCCGAGGTTTTTCTAAGGAGTTCAATGTAACGTGTTGGTCAAGTTGATTGAAAGGTGGCAATTACGAAATATGATGGAGGAGTTCTGCAGCTTACTGTGCCCGATTATTGAGATATAATCGGGAGACGCCAAATCACCAGAGGCTCGTCTTGAGCTTCGGAGTGAGAGCGGCGCTGTTCAAGCCGCATGATCACTTGGCCGCGCTGCCATGCCTCCGCACGCGCGCCGATAGCTCGGCCCTGAATCATCCCTAATACATAAACCCTAACCACCATGGTAAGGAGATCGAGCTACGTATCGGACGAGGAGGAGCACCAAGGCATGGAATCGCAAGCAGGAGAGGGGGAGAAACCATGGCCGACCCTTGGGCGGTGCGACACGGCGAGAGGGAGAGGAGCGCGTGGACGACGGCTGTGCAGAGGAGAAGTTTTTTTAAAAGGGAGGAGGAGCGCCGCACGCTGTTGGATGTTTCAGGGGGGTCGAGTCCGAGGAGAGTTGAGAGGCTTCTAGCCAGTGGCGAACCGATGTGTGCTCTCACAACCGAAGGGAGCAAAGGGCAAGAAGGAGCCACACGATGAGGATCCAACGGACCAAGTGAATTTTGCTAACGTGGACCAATTGGATAGCCACCGAGGGCGCATCGTTTCATAAGGAGGTAAACTAGTGATTTGGCGCGCGCTGGATGGCTTCATTCTGTTTCGTGTAGGGAATAGTGAAAATGGATAGAAATTGATGAAAACATAACAGACAAGAAATATAGTAGATATAGCATTGTTCTAGATGAAATAGGTAAGCAAAGATGGCACATATAAGTACAGCATTGTTCTAGATAACTTATGCTTATGGTTTTGAAAGTTCTATATAGCATACTGGTTATTTACAACACAGAATACAGCTCTCTGATAGGTAGTGAGCACAGCCGTCATTTCATATACAGATGGTACTTGAGCTTGTTTTTGCTTTAATGCTAAGGTTCGGGTACGTGGTAGATCCCAGTGATCAAGTCCTAGATTTAGCAGTAACTGGCTGAAAGTGCTTGGAAGGAAGTTCACCTTCATTGCCAAAAAAAAAAAGCATGGTCAAAAGCAAGATTATTTGCTTTATGAGCTGATCCTAGATCTACCAGCAACTAGCTGAATGTGTTTGGAAGGAAGTCCATCTTCATTGCAAAAAGGAGTAAACAACCAACATCACTTGGTTCAGAAGCTGCAAGAAGGCACTTAGAACAGAAAATGCTGGTAAGGATTAGTGTTGTACATATATATACTAATAGCAATAATATTTTCTGTGTAAAGAAGAACTGACCTAAATCACTTGATTTTTTTGGAAGCAGGAGGTCCAGAAGGACCGCTTTTCTCTAGAAGCATTTTCCTATTATTAGATGATGAAGTACAGTTACTAAGAATGTAAAGTGTTTTAGTTGTGCTACTCTCTTTTTTTCATGCTGTTAACAATAGACAGGGGTCATTTTTTTGCTTAAAATTCAGAGCATGTGTGCAATTAGGACCTTTTAGACGAAGTGGGAGGCAGCGAATAACTTTTCGTTGTCATTAAAAAACTCATACAGCCTTGAATTTTTTTGGTGAGAGATCACCATCAGTTTCCTGATATGGATAGGAAATAGGAAAATGGCAAATATTATCACTTGTGGAATGGCGAATGCAGTAGTAGATGCATTTTTTTACTCGCCTGGTTGGCACCAGTTTTGTCAGAACAGCTGAAGTAATTTTGCATCATGTAGTGAAGGTGTGTTTGAGCTTGATAGCGATGGAGTGGTAGGAATTTGTTGTACAGGCATGAAATGTTCTTGTTTGGTCTTGATAATTGAGTGACAACCTAGATGGACTAATTGTGTTTATTGTGAGATACACATATGATTAGTCCACTGGTATATATGTGTGAGCAACTATGCCATGGAGGTGGAAATGGCCTGGATTCGTTGCTTAGCTCACACATGTGATGGAGGAGCTTAATGCATGAGACATGACATGGAGTCATGTGACTAGGTGGAGAAGATCAAGACAAGACTTGGCTTGATGGACCGATTGTGATGGTGAAGGGCAAGTTGGAGGCTTTGAAGCCGTTGGTACCGAGTGTCGGGAGGCTTGAGCAAAGACTTGGCGCCGAAGGACCGAAGCAATGGTGAAGAGCAAGTGAAGTCGAGGATCGATGGACCAAAAGCCATGTGATGATATGAAGTGGATCATATCATTCTTGATGATGGTTGGTGCATGAGTTGCATCAACATCGGCGGTGGTGATGAAGATGGAATGGAAAGCGTAAGGCAAAGGTATACAATTTCAATGCCAAGGAAAAAAGTGAGACAATGATTTGTAGCGCAGCTGAAGACCAAAGAACAGGTCCGATATCAGTTTCTCATAGAACCTTATAGGATTTGATGACAACTTAGATGCATGCCTTAATTGGGTTCTATTCCTATGTGCCAATATTTTAGGTGAACCGGATAACCTCTACGGTATGGATATCTATTTTCCTTGAAACACCCATATGTGTGTTTTGCCTGTTGTCTGTTCAGCTTATAACTGATTTATATGTAACAAACCGTCACTGCCAATATATTTTTACCACTAAACCTTTTAAGGAATGCATGAGCAAATATTTTAATATAACAGTTAAATAGCAAATTGTTTTTTTAACTAATATATGGCAAAGTGGTAGCTGCAAACAAGCTAGAGAATGACAAATAAAAACTACAAATGTTTTCTACACACGTGCGTGTCGCACGTGCATGTTCACTAGTTGCAGAAAAATTGCTTACAAAATCATTAATACCGAAGTCCAAATGTGCTAAACAAGCTATCAAGGAATGTACAACTACCTGAAAAACGGAGAAGGCTCGCAATCTCATAGCAGGAACAGCATCGCAGTCGGCGGCGGAGTGTCCGATCTACTCCTGGGCTGCTGGACCTGGACTCTCCTGCAGAGAGGATGAGGACGAGGTGGTTGCACCCTGAAAGCTTTGCGCTTCTAATCCGCTGTTGACGAGGGAAGTTATTTTTCACGTCTAAATAACATTGGCCACTAGGGATGAAAACGATTCGAAATGATCGGCAGAAGGCTCCACCACTTTTACTTTCATATTTTTTACTCGGAAATGAAAACGATACGGTATTGTCAGAAACGAGAATGGCGCCGGTATTGCGGTAATATCGAAAACGAAACTATCTGATCGAAATTACATTGAAAACAATCAAAACCCATCAAAATGATATTGCAAAATGACAAACACGTCAACTTATAGAGCATAACACTAGCTATATAATTTAGCCCATCTTATACGCAAGTAAGTACTAACAACTACAATATTAATCCAACCATCCATGACATATAGTCACATACAAAATATGTGTCGATGTTCCAAACATTCAATAGATGTAATGAGCTTCGGTCCTCGAGACATCACAAAACACAGATAACTATAGGTACATCTAAATTTTAAGGGCTTCTTTGGAATGAAGAAATATATATTAGATGAATGAGAAAACACATAAAAGAAATAGGAATGTTGCATTAAAACAAACATAAAAATGGAGGGTGAGCGTTTGAAACAACAGGGACCTAAACTTGTTTCAAGTGAACCTGTCATTAGACCACTGCCATG